AAGTTGAGGTAGGTTATATCTTTTCATACTTAATGAGGTATTATTAAAACTACATAACTTTAATTTAAGAGATATACGGAATATTGCCAGTGTTAAATCAGCTGTGGTTGTCAGTTGATAACAACTCAAAATATTTAAATGGTGCTGACATAGTTGTTTGTACTCATGGCAGCAAACCAAAGGAACTTGTGGAGATGAAACCATTTACTTGTATTAATGTTTTTTGTAAATATTAATACAATGTTTTTTCTGTTTGGTGTCTGTATATTTAACAGATTTCTTGTCTAGTTTCAACTCAAAACATCCGACTTTGCCCTCTCGTTCCCCGCTGTATTCTGCACCATTAGATATAAAAACTGGTCTTGAAATCTTTTTTTTTTTTTGTCCAGTTTCTGCCGTGAACGAGTGTGCTACAAGCAATGGTGGTTGCGCCCAGGTTTGCACTGATACAGCGGCCTCCTTTACGTGTTCCTGTAACCCTGGGTTTATGCTGGCTGCCAATGCGATGGATTGTAATGGTAAATACCATGTAAATAAGGCGAACCTAATTAACTCCAAAATTACCCTTTACACGGAATTCCACTTACTGTTTATTTTCTCATAAATTATCGATGTCAGTCGATAGCTTTTCTTCATCCATGTATAAAGATCAAGGCAAAATGCTTAAGCCAAAAATTATTCCCAACCGGCTAGAGACTGCTGCTATCTGGAAGAAGTGCACGTGTACACCATGCGACTACTCAGCACTGAAATCCAATATCACTACTTTGGACCAGTGTTTTTTATAATGGATACCCTGCAATTCGCTTAATTGTAGGCCCTACAATAGTGCAAAGTTTTAACGCAATGAAATTAAATTTTTGCTGGCGCTTCCGTATCCACTTGAAATGTGTTTAATAATTTTGCAAAAATAAATAAATAAATAAAAATTAAAATAAATAAATAAAATAAAAATAAATTAACAGACTAATAGGAACACCATAAGGTATGAGCGTTCTGGCTATAATGGAAGAGAAAGAGGAACTTCTCCTTTCAAATTCAAAACTTGCTTCACAGTACGAAATTATGTTATTTTCAGATAAAAACGAATGTGCCATAAGCAATGGTGGTTGCGCTCAGGTTTGTACCAACACGGCGGGATCATTTACGTGTTCCTGTAATACCGGGTTCACACTGGCGGCGGATATGATGGGATGTAATGGTAAATATACTGCATATGTTAAAAAATCACGTAAAGTATTTAAACATACTCAAAATATTTGATAAAAAGGAGCATTATATCGTATACGCATTCTTTCTTAAAAAAGTCTTCTTCTGTTAACTCTTTCAGACCATTCAAAATATACTATACAGTTCGAGATTGTGTTATTTTCAGATAATAACGAATGCGCCATAAGCAATGGTGGTTGCGCTCAGGTCTGTACAAACACGACAGGATCATTTACATGTTCTTGTAATACCGGGTTTAAACTGGCTGCGGATATGTTGGCATGTGATGGTAAATATATGTCTTACTTTTATGTGTTTGTTATGGTAAGAAGATGCAAGCAACGTTAATGAATGTTCATTTTAAAAGCGTAGAGTGATATTTGATCAGTTTAACATGAGAATTCACAGCAGTCCATTGATGTCTCCTCCATCCCAGTGTACTTTCATAGTTCCATTCATAACAAGAAAAAAGGCAACAAAGAATATCAATGTTCGAGATTCGGCCAAACAAGACCGCTTTTATTATATAACCCCACTATCCTAATCATTTCAACAATAATAACAAAGTAAGAAATTGTTGCTTGTATTAAATGTTATGGCCTTAGGGATAAAAAAATATATATATCAAATATTCAATAAGACTCATCATTCAACAAATATGACGAGTATGATGATGTGACGTGTCAGCAAAAGTTACTATTAACAAACAATTTTGCATATATTTCGTTTGTGGGGTTGCAAAGAGGCTGCTGTGCAGATAAAAATATCATTTTTTATACCTTCAGATGTGAATGAATGTACTACAGCTAACGGCGGGTGCGCTCAGATTTGCACGAATACTGTTGGTACTTTCGTGTGTTCTTGTAATCCTGGGTTTGCCCTTGCAGCAGACTTGAGGTCTTGTGTTGGTATGCCCATTGCTCACATTGTTCGAGCACAGACTAGCTGTTTTAATGTCAAGATTATTAGTCATTGAGTCGACTGTTAAAATGTTTACATTTTAAGTTTTACCGATATAGATTATGTTATGTAGGTTTGTTTCTATTATCTTATACCTGCTAAATGAAAAATATAGTTTTGTACATGAGGATGTTTAACAGACCCCTTTTTGTCTTTAAGTTGTCACAGATGTAGATGAATGTTTGAATTCTAATGGAGGTTGTGAACAATTATGCACTAATACAGTAGGATCTTTCCTATGTTCCTGTCGGTCCGGCTTCGTGCTTATAAACAGGAGAGCCTGTGCAGGTATGATATATATATATATATATCAGTCAATTTTAACGAACGTTTGCCTTAGTTTGTAATTGGTTTGAATCAATTTAAAAAATAGAATTGAAACCATTGTCCTTTCAAATGTGCCAAGAAGCCCTAAGGTACTCTTAATTGTGGAGTTATAAATATTAAATTTTTTTGTTGAGTTGATAGATCTCTTGGTGCATAGCTATCGGTCTGGCGGCTATTAACGCCCCTAGTGAAACGATATGGTATGGTAGATTTGCAATAATACAATGAAATAGAAACTAAAGGCTAGGGTAAATGTATGTCCGAACAAATTGTTTCACCTGTTTTTGAATTGAAATTTATCAAAACATTATTCATATGGACAAAAATCGTAGAAAGGGAGTTCATGCAAGGGTACATCATAAACAGTTTTTTCGTGTTTTCTTAAGTTATTTGCTATTTCACAGATATAAACGAATGTTCTGTGAATAATGGCGGCTGTAGCCAAAGATGTACCAACAATCCCGGATCTTTCAGCTGTTCATGTGACACTGGATTCAGTCTGGACTCCAATGGAAGGACATGCTCAGGTAAAAAAAATACAAATTTGGATTTATTCTACATAAGCTCTAAAGTGTTGGAAAGATAAAGAGATGTCTGTAAGTTTGGCAAAACTCTACATATCATATCGGTTGAAGCTAAAGACATACATAATTTTCAATTTGATTAAAAGATCATTCCAATTAAAACACAAAGACATAATTTAATGGTTTAAAGATTTCCATGTGCAACGACACACAGGTATTCGTCTCTTAGGTGACCAAACAATACATTGACTGTTATTAAAAGAAATATTGTCTTACCAATTTGTTCGACCTCCTTGGTCTTACTTCTTAATATGGTTATGGGCTTATAATTCAAGCTACTCAGCCACCCAACCCGTGCCTGACTAACAATGGCGGTTGTCAACAGATTTGTACGAACAATGGAGGCTCAGCCCAGTGTTCATGTAATGCTGGTTTTACCTTGGATAGCAACGGGATGACTTGTACTGGTAGGTTAAAACTTACGTTTCTAAAGCCCAATGGTAACTGATTATCGGCTGTCGCAGTAATTATGTGAATTTTGTAATTATTTAGATAGATTTAGAAACTAGAAATCACGTACTGTTAAAATATTTGAACTCTGAAGTCTGATTATGGTTTATCACTTCAAACATTAGACCTACTCTCCTGCAGTGCTTCTGGCTTGAATCGCCGTAAAAAGCGTTTAATTTGTATATATTCAATTGACCCCAAGGCCAACTGTTAACCAACTACCATAGCTCTTACTGGATTAGATAAATTTAAAACTAGCCATTGTATGGAAATGCAATTTTAAAGATGTAATATCTTATGGTCACTTCAAACGTATCTGTTTTTATGAAAAGAATTACGTTTGATAATTTCCTTTCAGTGGATCAACCACCAAATCCTTGTCTAATTGGAAATGGCGGCTGCCAACAGATTTGTATGAACAATGGGGGAACAGCCCTGTGCTCATGTAATGTTGGATTTACCACAAACAATAACGGAGTGACTTGTGTTGGTAGGTCGTTATACATGTGCAAGATACGAATTTATTATTCATTATATACCTTTCCTTCCGTGAGCTTCATATATCAGTGTCAGAATTCATGTAGGCTGCGAAATGTTCCAAAAATGTTCCAAACAAGCGATTTTTGCTTGTATTGGTGCAGTTTATTAAATCAGTATTATAATCTAAGTATTTTGATTGAATTATATTGAAACTAAAATAAAAGAATATTTTTCAGCCAATATACCTCCCACAACTGCTCAGCCAGCAACAACCAACCTGTTGCCAAGTAGCAATCTACCTCCGGCATCAAACACACCTCCGGGAAACAACCAGGCACAAAACCCTTGCCTGATAAACAACGGGGGTTGCCAACAGACATGTAGAAACAACGGCGGGATACCGCGGTGCACTTGCCTTGCTGGCTTCTCCCTGAACCCCGATGGGAGAACTTGCACTGGTAATAACATTATATTTCTACATTAAAGTAACCCCCTTTTGCGTCGCTACATTTACCTTTATTACATCTTTGATTACATGTAACTTTTCAAACCAAGCAGAAGCTTACTTTTTTACCTTAAATGAGCCAATTGTTCTGAGCAGTTGAACTGAAGTGGTGAGCATTGTATTAATTGAACCTTTTTGGTTCACGCTAGTGCCAATACTGTTTAAGTAAATGTCATTTGTGTAAATGAAAAATAACAGTATTTCTTATCGAATTTTACACATTATTTGGTAAAAGGTATTTAGTTTAAATGAAAATATGCCAGTGCTTCCATGTTCCCATGTTTCGCACGGTTCGAACATAGTCAGCTCATCATTGAATAATCTAGTTAGACAGCCAGGAAATGGCGTAACCAACTTGAAAGCATTTTTCTGTATCGTTTTATACATAGCATTCATCTTCATAAACTCAAGTCTCGCGGACCAGAACATCTTTGGTGGTTTCCCGCTGAATGGTGTATCTTTTGAGAGCTGTTTAATCATATGTCTCCTGACCACGAGTTGCGGGGCGCTTTCCTTTGACAACCAAAACGCTTGCGTTCTTCACCCTGTAAACACAGCATGTGGACAGACGTTCCCACAAGCTGGGACGACACTTTACCGGTTGACCACGTGTCCATCAGCTGATGCAGCACCACTTTCTAACATTGGATTCTTTTTTCAAGTTATAAGAGCACTTTTTGGTGAGTTAGATATTCTGAATTTTATTAATTTCATTGTTAATTAATTTTCCATTCGAAAATACAACATTCTATACAGTGAAGCGGTCTGTAACCTGCTTGCCTATAATTGAAACTTTGATATCACAGTCTAAAGTTTAGTTGAGTCACAAGACAACCAAAATAATTAATCAGTGATTTAGAGAGTGAGACCTTGTCACTGCGCTTTTTTCAAAGTAAAAAAGTCGTTTATTTACATTTGAGTGAATTTCTCATAAGCACTAATTAAGTGATTTGCCCATCGGCACTTTCATCTAGACTTAATATTTCGACAACTCCGCTTGTCTGAGTAAATGTAATAGTGATCAGTATTTTATTTACAGGTCTTTAGAAACCTTAAGTGTCACCAAATGTTCGCCACGTCCTCCAGACAGGTACATACAGATGAAGTGTCAAGTAACCCCGCAGTAGTCACATTGAAATGGGAGAGCGCTTGTGTAGACTCTTGAATCTGTTGTAACTTCTGGTATGGAGAAAATGCCTCCAACAGAGGTGGATCTTTGATTTCATCAATTTACTGGCATACATGTGCGAACTTTACCCGTTAAATAAATGCAGCCGAAATAACTGATGTGTTGAATGTTCCTATTCACCAAGGTTGATTGAAGGATTCACCAAGGTTGATTGAATCCTATTTTTTCGTATTTAATGCTTACTTACACCTTTCTTTTGAACAATGAAAATAATCCGTTGAAAGAAATAACACCAACTAATTGTATTTACTCAGCCGTTTACTAGACGGTTATAGCCAAAATATTACAAATTATAATCATTTTTGCTATTATACATGTACATATATTGCATTTTACATCATGGTAAAATTCCCCCTGTTACAGTTCACATGGTGCCCATCTTACATTTTAGTGTTTTGTGCATTTTTAATTGGTATTTTAGGGTACTATAGATAAATAATTTTAAGGGGAAAACATAAAGACGCCAGGAGACAAAAGGACTCAAAACATTTATGTTCAACGTAAGTTAGTGCCCGGGTGAAGGCATTCATTATTGGGATCAGTAAGAGAAAGCAAGTACAAAATAACGTTTAATGGTGTAGTAAAAGTTAAGACTACTGATAACCTATTACTGCAATTAAATTGACGCTTAGTACCACTACTAGTGTATTGAAACCCCACGAGCAGTATTTACAAAAAAAAAAAAAACCAGAGGAAAAAACACTCTCTGAAAGTTAAATTACCCGATAATGTAGATTCTACATAGAGAATATACTTATCTACTTTGAGCAGTTCTATAATTATGTTTTAGTTTATATAAAATAAGGAATAAGGAAAAATAACAAAAGCAGTTCACCGGCGGCTAGAGGTGTGGCAAACCACGCCATAATTACGCACTACCACTACACCATATCTTCATAATGTGACTCTTTCTATAGTTTTCCAAGTTGGACTGTCGCCGATGCAATAAACATTTCAGTTAATTAAAAAAAATATATTTCAGTGTCGATTTGCGCCATGCATGTAATTACGCTCAGAAAAGGCATATCAAAATTTGGTGCTTTCCCCTTTCTCCGAAAATGCTTCATTGCTGTAACCATCTGCGTCGCTGTTTTCCAAGTTAAAGTTAACCTGACTATCTTTCCTAGTCCCGCTTTTATCATCACCCTCTTGCCCTGGCAATACCACAGGAAGGACGAAGGTTTCCAGACCACCTACAAATAATGATCACAATTCTCTATTTAGTGCAATTAGATGATACATTTAATTCATTAACAATAGAAGTGCATGCTTATGATTTCTTCGTTTTACTCTAAATTATGAGAGATAAGTAGCCCGAAATTATCACGTAATATTTTTTCGGTAAACTTAAAGCTGCTTGTAAATTGTCACGCAAAGGGAAATCTGGTAAAGAACCACACCCGGTCTTAAAACGGTCTTAGTACCGCCCGGTCTTAAAAGGCAGTTCACTTGTGAAATGGACAGGCATAGTTATGACAAAGCTGATAGAAGCAGCGTTATTTTAACAGTCTAAAAAATTAACAACCAATTATTTGATGAAAGTGCACAACATAAGCAGCTGCATATAACGTTTAATGGCTTTATCACCATCATTATGTTTTTAACATATCCTACTTATACTTTAAATATTCAGAAATTGAAACTATTACAGGGCTCCATACTTTAAAAATAAATGAATAAGTAAAAGGAAGAGTCTATTTATAAAAAAAGATTGGTGAACAGTGATTTGTATTGATGTAAATTTGACTTTGGTCTTCACAGGAATACAGGAAAGCTCGATCAAGACCTGTAAACCTTCCAGTCAAAATCTAGTTATCACATTTTTATGAATCTGCAGGTATACCTGTTTATGGTATGTAAAGTCATCTGATGAAAATCTAAATACCTATCCCCATCCTCCCCCCCCCCCCAAAAAAAAAATAAATAAATAAATAAATAAATGAATAAATAAATAAATGAAAATAAAAAAGTAAAGCATGATAATGATAACATCAGAATATATGATCAAGTATGTACTTAATCCCACAATCTGCGTTATTGTTCGGTATATATTTCAGATAGAGAGTATACCTGAACTGTTCATCCGGTTTTTCCCTTTAGCGTTAATGTGGCCAGCGCTCCAGCCGTCTCCCCAGGCCTCAGACGGGTAGGCAGGTTCACCGTGCTTGGGGACATCCAGTCCTGAAAGATACAGTGCAAACCGTGACTGTGTATTGAATGCCGTCTTGTCTAGTATTACTAAATATTGTTTCTATACTCTTTTAACACATTCAATCGAAAGCTATATACAACCGAAAAAGTCATACGTTTCAGGGCCAGGGCATAATTTTTTTCATAGTTACCTCAACTGTAAATAGTTTTCAATTAAAAAGAACAGTGAAAAAGACGCTACGATTTACATAAGTTACTATAACTCACATATTTATGGACTGTATAGTATATAAGTACACACATACAAACATTTAAATACACCGTTATTTTAGAGCAAGTTTACCTCTAATTTCGAGTTCTTGTTCGACTCTTAACAGCTTAAATGCCTTTAAGGATCCAAAAATGATCGCACTGATGGCTGCTGTCCAGAAAATTATCGCAACAGCGCCAAGCATATTTACGCCAAAACCCTAAAATATGAAATACATTTGTTGAAATAAAAGTACACCAAGGAGCACGGTGAAGAGCAGTCAGATAATATCCATTTACAAGCTACAGAGTTACATAAGTGTTTAACAAATCAGCATCCCGAACCCAAACTTGCTAAGAACGTGAAAACATCACTCGTCTCATCACTTGAACTTACCAACCAAGCGTCGGTGTTGCTAGGGTTGTAGATTATCCCGTCTATTTTCAGTATAGGTGCCAGAAGAAGACCACAGAGCCCACCGCCACCGTGTACTGAAAACAAAGAACGTGTACTTAAATCAGTTAATATAAACAGGCCTTGTGCCAACCATGTTTTGTAGCGCCCCTTCAGCAAAACGTGCTTGTCAAAGACAATGATTTTTACGCTGTGGGGACAGCACTGCTGATCAGTGAGCTAATAGTTCGCTCCTAGAAATCTACAGTATATCGCAAAATCGACTTTGCATTGTCGGCTAGCTTAGTTAAGTAGTCTAGGCTAATAGGTCCAAAAAAATTTGAGGAAACTGATCCTTGGTTTTGTCTATAATTTGTTTGAAATATAAACGTGACGCATTTGAATTATTTAAACATAACATAACATGTCGGTTTCTACAAGTTGCGTCTAATTTTTTCACAACCGAATACCTGCTACGGCGTCCAAGGGGTCGTCAATTTTCATTTTCTCCACACCCCAGCTCCAGAGCAGGTACGTGATGCCGGAGATCAGACCCAACACACAAGCTGCCCACGGCTCCATCACGTTACAGCCAGCGCAAACGGCAACCTAGAGACATACTGTGCATTTAGAGCTGAACAATGAGAAATGTAAATACTTTTCACATTATTATTATTATTATTATTAATCAGCTTTGGGAAATTAAAAAGAAGTAACACGTGTATCTTATAGTCGACTTCGTCTTGTAGGCTACACCGCAAATAATCATCAGAATCACATATTTAGTAAAAGCGAAGAAAAATGATAATTTTAGGAAACCCTTTTTGCATATAATCACCTGTAGTATAATCTATTTCATATAAAAATGTCACTATCTGCTTTTTTTTAAAAAATTGCATCTTTAAACAATCTAATATAGTTTAGTTCTATTTATCTCCTCTTGATTGTGCCCCCTAATTACCATTCCGGTTAGAGCACCGTTAATCGTGCTCAATAACTTCCAGTCGTCAGTGCTATGGCGATCACACTGAAAAAAAAACAATTTAATGAACAGAGATGATTTCATACAAATATTTAAATTTCACCTGTAATGAATATCTGCATCAGTAAATAGTTTCAACATTAATTGAATGGTGGTTTGTTTTTTCGTTTTTTATATATATATATATATAAATTATTATTCTTACGGCAGAAATTACAAAACCAACACATTGACCATACACTTACATAGTATACAGCAGGACCAAATTTTTTAGCCAACAGTGCGGTGAAGGCAGCAAAGCTGGCACTGATTATGGTGTTCATCATGGCGTGGGATATAGCTAAACCGTCGCCTGACTTGGAGACTGAGGCCTGCGAACCTCCGTTGAAAGCGAAAAATCCGAACATCAAGATGAATCCACCTAACGCAGCCAACTTAGAAGAAAGAAGATATAGTGTGTACTACTGCCATTAAGTGAGGATGAAGGATAATTTAAACGAAAAAATCAAACCATTGGGTGGTACAAGTATCAGGTACATGTATCAGCTTAAGATAAATCAACTTTGCATCTCAGTGAATCACTTCAAAAACTCGAAAAAAACTTAAGTGCCTTAGCTTGAACTAATCTGTGGTCCTACTGAGTAGGATAAACGAACAGGTTGTACACATTTTACAAGTGAATTACTGAAAAGGATTTTGAAATAATAAATGAGCTCTTAAATTCAGCAAACCCTCACAAATCACCATAAGAAAAAAAATTAGAAGGAACTCAAAAATGAATTTACAGGCACATTATGTCCGGAGATAGGTTTCGGTGTCCCGTCATCATCAAATCTACCAATGCGAGCACCAAGAAACGCTGCCCCAACTAACGCTGCAGTCCCACCCAGTAGATGGACTACGCCGCTTCCTGCAAAGTCCTGAAAACATCAAAATTTTTCATGAAAACAAAGCATCTGTTATACCTTCAATAATTACATACAAGTAAAACATAAACATCGTTTGCAATTGCTGAAAATAATAATACAATAAAAATATAAAATAAAAAATAAATAAGATACAATATCATAAATATAAAGATTTTATATAAGATATAAATATGTTATATATTTTCTAATGAAATAAAAGAAAAAAAATTGAATGTTTGGCATTGCTTAACATGAATATGGTCAAATGTAAGTGACCAACATTTTTCCGACCTATTTTTACCTGATACCCCACGCCGCCAAAGCCAACTGCCAGCCAACCCTTCTCTGACCACGCCCAGTGGGTTACAATCGGATAGACAAATCCTAAGTTAGAATATTTATATGGTACATTTTACAATGGAACAATGGAAATTTGGTCAATTTTTGCTCCGTTTACACCATCTCCTGGTGACAAAAGCCAATATGTTACTTGTATAAATTAAACCAAACAAAATTTATAAATTAAAAATGAAGTGTAGTTGTCCGGCATACAGACATTTTTGCTTTTTATGTAGATAGACTTACATAAATAATATGCTTATGGATATTCGTATGCAAATTACCTGTAATCATGGAGCTATAGAAGAAGTAAGCTATAAATTCACATCTCTCTGCCATAGCTCCTGACACAATGGTGGCAGCGGTGGCTGCGAACACAAAGTGGAAGAACCAGTGACTTAGTTTTTCGTCAGGGATGCCCTCGCTGAACCAGTAGCGCCATCCTAGAAATGCGTTGTCCGGCTCACCAAACGCAAGCGCGTATCCAAATCCCCAGTAAGCTATTCCTGATATATCTAAAATATGGTGCAATGTTTTGTAAAATTCCTCCGTTGGTATGAGAATTTATCAAAGCGCTGCGTCTAGAGATCGATTTACTGATCCTTTATTGTTAACAAAAATAAAAAATAATAATAATAATTCATGCATCTCAACAACGAGCCCTATTTTATGTCACTGACTTGGGTAAATTAGATTTGTCGATTTTGTGAACAAAAACATAATAATAATAATAATAATAATAATAATAATAATAATAATAATAATTCAGGCATTTCAACAACGAACCCTATTTTTATGTCACTGACGTGGGTTAATTAAATTTGTAGACATCATTAAAAGCCAAGCAAACTATGTAGAATTTAAGCAATGTGAACTAATACTAATAATACATTAACAAAGTACGGTTCAGCATTTGCATGCAGTACACGCAAAATTTACATTATAGAAGAGAGGCTACATGAGGTCTTGGGATCTTTGTCCGGTGCTTTTCAATATCTTGATGCACCTCAGTGACACGTTATTTACGGCGCTGGTGTTTGTTTATTTTTAAGGTGACCCAAAAAGTAAAACAAAAGTTGAAATTGATTAATATAGACTATGAACTACTCTCATATGGACGTTTTAACTGAAATACATGTATCTTAAAGTGGGTGTTGTGGATTATCGCCACTATTAGAGATCTCGAATTTCGGGATGTTCCTCTTAAATAAAAGTTTTAAGAATTTGAAAATGGCGTAAGTTGCATAAAGTCGTTCATAACATCAACGTGTTGTCCATGATCAAGTTGAAATGAGGACTGTTTTTCGCAGACGCCTTAAGTTAAGTTTTTCAGTGAGAATAAGAAAAAATGCATTGCAATGCTGACTGTCTACTGGGATAGTATGCTTAAACCGATTCTTTAACGCATGTGACTGGAGTACGTACAAGCATCAAGCATGTTCTTGATGAGAATGTTGGTGGTGTTCTTGCTTCTTACTGCTCCGCACTCCAGTAAGGCAAACCCTGCCTGCATGACTGGAAATGGCAGTTAAATAATCAATTAAAAAAGACTGATCACAATGAAGAACAACTATATTTATCATACTCAATATCTAGTAGCAAAACTCTTATCAATATTTTGAGTTATCTTCATAACGTTTTCAAAGAAAGCTTGATGAATACGTGGGTCCTTTTTTTTTTAAACTTTTTAATTATCAACAATATGGCATGGATGCTATATGCTGTTTGTCTATTTATGTATTTTTGTTCAAGAGTTATTTTTAAAATACAAAAGTATTTTCAAAACTGAAAAGGATATTAGGTTGGTCTTTTGTCCTATACTTACAGAAAATTATGATAGACATAGTGAAAAGAAAGAAGACATCAACCGAAGCTTGAAGTGCTCTCAAGACCTCTTTGGTGTCTTTGTAATCTCTCAAAAGTTCTGTAAGGTTGAACTCAAGCTGATCTAATGGGTCCGCCATTTCAGAAAGACAGTCTAAAGCCCAAGTCCTGAAAAACAAAATAATATGCCTATAATTTCCTAGGTCAGGATAACCACTCAGTATGTTGCTTATATGCAAGTCACAGGCGGTTACACTGTCAGGTCGTTTCACATGCCGGTCAAAGATGTGTAGGGCTGTAGTACTGTACATCAATATAGTCATCTAGACCGCATACATAAATCACATACGGCGTCATGTACATTCTCTTCCACCTTCTCATTTATGTGCCGTTAAAAGTAATTTTAAACTAAAAACATGGCATGAAATGGGCGACCACTTAATAGTAAGCAAAATTTACCATTGAGATTCCGACGTTTAGACGAAAGTTGCGGTATTCATTTTATATCTCAGTGGAACGGTCTGCTTTTTGCAGATGAGTGTGCATATGTGGCGTTTCCCAGTGATGGTCAGGTGTAAATGTGTGGATTTTTTTCAGGGGTATTTATTGGACAGTTAAGTAGATCTTGACAGGAGATGGTTCGATCCAGTTTTGGAGTGCCTTTTGGTACATCGGTTTTCGCCATTGGTTTCACTGTAACTTCACGGAGCACCATCCGGTACTACCCGCTTGTCCGGGAATATTTTTGCCTAGAGCGTTTCAATGCACAACCACATATAACTTGCATACAGAACAATCATCCTAAAGTCGTTATAAAGTTCTTTAGCCGACTAAATGTAAGTCTACAACAGAAATTAACTCTTAATTTAAAAAATTGATCTAGATGAATCACAACATGCCTTTGCTTAATGGGAGCAGAATTCACCAAGAAAAACAATTAAAATTGTTTACATTTTGCTTGTGTACTTTTAAGAATAGATGATAAAGGTGGAGTAAACATGTTATTTGCAGAAAATTAAGGCACCAAAACATGAAATGCGTTATGGTCCCTTGAGAGCGATAATAGCTCCTTCTGTTTTGAATATTTAAGCCCTCACAGAGTGCCACGATATTATAGATGGATTGGACGATGTCTGCTTTACGATTATGCTCACAGGCACGTAAAACCTGATATGATTCTTTTGTATATGCAACAATTCATGTCTAGAAGATGGCCAGATTACGTTATCACGATAAAAATGACATTTTTGAGACGATCTTTTCTGCGCAGTCGAGCCACGTGCGCCTTCGTTTTTCTTTCGTAACACCATACTTTTTCCATGTTTGAAAATATTATAGTGAAGGTATGTAAAACGAAAAGAGTTAAATAACTCAGTTTTGAAACAAAATATTGTTCAAGGCCGTATTATTTAATAAGCCTTAGAGATTTGTCTGAGACAGAACGTTCGGGTCACATACGGAATTCGTTCACCCAACACAAGGGGGTCTCCCCGTACCCGTCGCCGTGTATCCCGCAATACATTTGGATAATTTAACGTCACGGACGAGCTGGCCACTTTATGGCCAATGTTGATCAGGACTCAACAAGAGTAAAATCTGGACTTTATAATAATTTTATATAACATACACGATATGATCTTAAGACCCATTAATTAAATAACTATATGTAAAAAAAATATTTCAAGTATCAGCTGTGTCACATCCGTTGCCTTATGTTATATCTAATAAATCCATTTAAAAGTAAAACATCAAATGCGCACTTTGTTGTGTACTCTCCCGGAATACTTATCACTTTTTCTACCAATCGCATTTGAAGAAGAAATAAGCATTTACTTATACTTACAATGTAAATTAAATACTTTCAAATCGTCCAAAGCGTGCAGCACGATAAAAATTCTGCAATATTTTCTTTTTTCTTGGTACAACAACGACCATTTATGACAACATTTGATACATGTATTCGCATCAGTCGAGCAACTTCCTTTTCACACCACCACATCCAATAGAAAGTGTGCTATATATACGAGGGACACTGCATAGATTCTTAACAGCCGGCCTCGGTCCACGAATTATATATAGCGTGCAAGTTTTAATCTTTTCTTAGTGCGCTTTCAACCGCACGTTTTCTCCAAGTTGGTCCAATGCCAAATCAGTAGACGTTATAATTTAGGACAGCGTTCAGATTCAAAAATCGCACCAGCTGGATCGATCCAACTCTTCGGGGGATTCTGACTAAAGTGCATTCAGCATAATCAGCTTAATTGTCTGCCACGCCTCCTTGAGTAGCTAGTTAATTAGTTAATTACTCCCTAGTAAATCAAGGAGGCGGGTGAGACATTTTAACCAATTACAGTGTTTACACTTCGGGGGAATCTCTCACGGAGTTGGATCGATCCAGCCAGTACGATGGGTTTATATGAACAGTCCCTAAGATATTTTATCATATTTCCTTTCCAGGTTTCACTCATTTCTGATCGAATGAAAAGAGTATCATTTTCCAAATATTTTACGAATAGGATTGGGAATGCAAGCTTCGTATAGCCTCTAGTATTTTTGTAAATGTGAAACACACACACACACACACACACACACACACACACACACACACACCTGTTTTGAATTTCTGACATATTTCAGTTATCTTACAGCAAAAATGATCGGTGAAAAGGAACATAAAGCATCTACTAATATATATAGAGATGATTATAATAATAAACGTACTTAAAAAAGGGCTATCTTTGAATGTCGGAAAGGATTCATTAACCATTGATAGGTTTGAGGAAATTGCCGTTTACCTTTGTTGGGAGAATCCGTTTTATGGCACTTTTCCAGCCAGAGTGAAGAGTTGTTATCCTTTTAAGTTAAAAACGTGCTGAAGCCTCATGCAGATCATTACATTAAGTAAATAATAACATCTAAATAATATACATTTATGTTGCCATTTTAGTATTACTTAGTAAGCACGGCTATCAGACATGGTTATTAAAATCTTAACTACATTACTGTCAAGGTATGGGTAACGTTTAGAAAAGTTTCAGTGTGGCATGAAAATCAGAAAAGAATTGGTAAAGCTGAACTCAACCTCGGTTACGCCTATGCTTGATATCACTGTTATAAACATGTCCACTTAACCCTTTGTTGGACATACAATTCAGGTACAAATATAGATTAAATGAGGGTTGTAAAGGTTATTTAGTACATATATCAAAATGAAAGACTCAAGTTATATGACAATGAATATAAAGAAGATTCATATGTGTGTGTTGAACAGTTTAATTAGCTACGTGTTTGAAATGACCAACAGAGTTTCTTTTGTCGATAGCTATAGAAAATTAACTGATATTTACCGGCCAATATTTCGTCAGTTTGTTAGGGGGTTGATTCCCTCTGCACATCACAATTCACCCCACAGGTACTCAAAGGGGTTAGTATCAGGGTTCAAAACGGTTGATCCATCCACAGCAGATTGCGTTTCTCCAACCAATCTCTCACTGTGAGCTAGGGGGCCGACACGATGAAGGTTGTAGTTACCAGTGAAGTCTCCTCTTGCCATTATAGTGCGATGACTGTTGAGAATACCATAGTAAAGGGTTCCATTAATGCTCCAGAAAGAACAGTTTACTAAAACTATGGGCATAGAATGCTCCCCAAATAGGGACTGACCCAGCATCTTAGTGTGCTGCTCAAAGGAAACAGATACAAAGGATGCACACATTATTCCAAGAAGCATTCTCAAACAAATCTACGGGGGTAGTCTGGGGTATATAAAAAAAAATAAAATAATAAAAAATAAAAAAAAACTATCCGTTGATTAGTCAGCAAAGACAACTGACAACTTAATGCAAGTGATAATTTGTCAGGTTTCGGTGCCTCTGGGGCCACTGACCGAAGAGTCTTCACATTTTATGTTTTGTCATAACAACGCATTTGCTCACATTTCACATCTGGTCCGTCATGTGTTGAAGAAACGTTCTGAGGAAGGAACAAATAATTTGAGCCCGATTCTAACCCTATTTGGCTCCAGTGAAATGAATTGGAATGTGCTTTGCAGAAGATAATGAACCTTCCAATGAACTGGTCCAACTCCGTCAAGCTCTTAAAGGAAATTGCACAATATTCCACAGAACAGACTTGCAACCCTTGTTGAAAGCATGCCACACTTTACAGCACCCGTTAGACGCACACACACTTAATTCTTAGACATGTAACATTTAAAAAGCACGTTCTGATGCTATTGTGTATAAATATGGTGACATTTGACGGTGTTTTTGTTTTTTTTTTTTTTTTCAATTTTTTAACCTTTCTTGTTTGAACTGAGGAAATCAATCTGGAACCTCAGCTTTGAGGGGGTGCATGTTTTAAACATTAACAAATGGTGAAAATATGAATATCTACACTGGATTTTTATGCACTATACATGTATATTCTTTGAGAATTGGTACCTGGAATGAAAGTACTAATTACAACGGATTGCAGATGTGATGTGATCATTTGTTAACAAAAACACATGGAAGTGGAGGTGTCACAACCTTTTTAATCAAGAGTGTGCATTTTATAATACTTTTTTAAAATCCAGCCGCCTATCAAATAGTAGCACATTCGGTCGTCACTTTGTGGATAGCTTAAAAAAATAAGGCCTATAAATGAATAAAATGTGAAATTTCGTAAGCCTCAGGTTTACTAGTAAATGCCTGAGATATCAGATCTTATGTAGGCATTCCAGCCTCATGTTTTAATCTACAGAACAACTTGATATTGACACTTAACACCACGCCTCAAATGTGCATGCATCCTTCTGCATTATCTGTGTTACAATGATGACACGTTCCGACCACATGCCTGACGAAATTCAGCTCTAGCTGCCCCTGCCTTTCAGTTACGTCAGAGGCATGAAAGTGTTGGTGACATGAGCTGCGACAAATACGGCGTGTTAAGACTAGTTCCGCCTCGGAAGATAAAGGAGTAAGTTATATAATTATGGCCGTCAAAAAACATTTTGGTGTTCTTCATGTGGGTCAACTTTTCATGTGAGAAATAAATAGAACAAGACAGCAAAGCTGGAAAATTTACATACTTAAAAAGTTATTCCCATTGCTCAATTTTACAGTTTTTTTTTAGTTCCAGTAAACAATAACTTAAGCAAAAAATAATCCGATCATTCTCATTTTCGAAAGGAACCTTTTTACCAAAGTCACTCAGCAAATTTGGAGAGAACAAAATATATATATGTATATCAAAATTAATCCGTTTATTTTCTAAAGAAAAAAATATATATATATATCAAAATTAAGCAATGTTTATTTTCTAAAGAAACTGACTGGCCTTTTAACCAGAACAACCACTCAGTACATTCGAAGTGAAACAAAAATATGGTTTGGCAGTTATGGGGCAAAGAACAGGCGTGAGACGACACATGCGACAATTAACGACGACACGGCCAGGCACGGACCAAAATATATACAGACATACATATTGTCTGTATGTAGGAATGTGAAATCCAAGACTGGTAAGAGACAAAGAAACTGATGGATTAATAGCTATCAAAATCATCACTTGTTGTGAACACCTGCAAAATAAGGAAATTCTACCTTTGTTAGAAACGACTTGGAGTCATCCGAAATAACCCCTATCAAGTGAGTATTTCATGGGATTTATGAGGAGCACAGAGTAAAAATAATGGCAGATTTATTATTGCAGTGCGGTAACGATTAAAAGGTGACAGAATTTACCCACGCTCAGCTCTCACCTTGATCGATTACTGAACCTAAAATCTACAGAAAACGATTTCAGAATATCACACTGCTCTACCATAGAGACAAAACCGACCAATTTTCCCATACTTACCAATGGTTAACGAATCCATTTCTACATTTAAAGTTAGTCCCCATTTTTTTTTCTAAAAAGTTTGATTTTTTGTAATTATCTCTTAAGATATTATTACAGAGTATCGCCTTCTATGGTGGTCAGTGGTCCGATGACAAGCACAGATTCCAGAATAAATGCTTAAACTGCCATTTTTGTGGAAAATAGAATAAATTATATTTCTATGAGTTGTTTACAATGTATTTATTGTGAAATATAGATCTAATATGAAGAGTTGTATTTTAATGAATTTCATAAGGTCGCCATGCTCTACGACATATGGTGATTTCATGAAATTCATTAAAAACGCTAAACCGATTTATATTTTATTTTATTATTATTAATATTATTATTTTTGCATCATGGTAGACTACTATGTGGTATTCCAAAGTAGTTTAATATGTTTTTTTAGATTCAGTTACCAATCAAGGTGACAGCCAGGTGTGACTTAACCCATGGATATATTTGTCATTTTTTCTTAGATTCTATGGAATAACAGTCTATTGCACGACAGCACAAATTCATCATGTTTTGCGTGTCAATTTTACATTGCTAAGGCAACATGCTTGAGGTTCAGCAATAAATTTCAGACGATTTCCATCCTTCATACAATAACCTGGCCATTTAAAAATATTGCTCTTCTTTAAACAGTGCCCCAGTTAATTTTAAAAACATTGGTCCCGAGTAAATGAATCTCCATGCATGGTATTTTTATATTTCTATATTTGTTTTACAAATTCAGTTTAAATTATAGTAAATGGTAAATTTAACTAATATTGTAAATTTAACAGTAACAGTAACAGTAAATTTAACTAATATTGTCAAATTATTTCAAAACTTGTTTTATTTTGACATAAAAAAAGACTTCATTCTCCTAATATGTCTTTGACAGTGAAATTAAGTCTTCAATGATACAAAAAGCTTCAGGTGGCATATATCCTTATTTTACATATATCCTCATCTGATAAGCTTGATTTTTCCTCAAATCCCTGAGCTGTTTTGTCATTCCTCTTCATGTTTTTTCTTGATGTTAGCTTGTTGCTGCAGCATGCGTATGCCACGTGTGGCCATGTCAAAATCATGAGTTCTCTTTGTAAAAGTTCCAAATTTCAAGACATTGTTTAAAATCTTGTCATTATTCATGTCATCGAAATAACATTCTCCAACTTCACATGGTCGAAGACGTTCTTGTTCACTCCTTAGAATGCTCCTACGAATGATATCTTGATCACCTTTAGTGTCTCGTTTAAATGAAATAATGTTAGCCCCAGGTAGATCAAAGTACATAACAAAATAGCTGGAAAGAGACAAAATGCTTGATACATACATATGCAAATATGTGAGAACAATGGCAATAGTGATAACTTTAAAAGATTGTTGGTGGCTTAGTTAAATTATAAAATAATAACAATAATAATAAATAAACACTATAAATTGTGAAACACTTATCATCTACTGTGCTTTGTTTATAGCTTTTGACTGATTATAAATTTGGATAATCACAGTGGATAGGGACAACAAGTTATGAAATTAATTAGGCTGCTATGTCTCAGCTTGTTTATACTAGTAGCATTACTACTTAATGCTATGAAAGGAAAGGGAACCCTTTCACATCTGTGATTAAATTATATATATATATATATATATATATATATATATATATATATAAATAAACAGGATACAATTTTACATACTTTCCCTTTTGAACTGGTTCTCCTCTATATTTCATTGTGTATGGCAATGGTCTCTGTCCAAGATTTTCAAATCTTTTAATTAACCCTCCATTCTTGAACACAGCTTCAGCATATCTTTTGATACATTCAGCCATTTGGGTCTAGAATGGATGGGTACATAGAATCATGCAACATAACACTGAACCACATATAGTCAAGAGTATTTGCTTTTATGAAAATAATTTTCTGAAATAAAAACAAAATTGCAAATGATAGGCCAAATGTGTTTTATCACTTTCTTTCACGGCTTTTCCCAGGATTGGGGGTACAGGCAAAAATTCAGGGAGTACAAGCCATCATTATTAAAAAAAAATAAGCAGTCTTTGAAAATATCGGCCATCTGGTGATGCCGGTGGCCATCCAAACTACAACTGGACGGTTCGCTGGGAAAAGCCTTGCTTCTATTTCAACAGTATAACGATAAATATAGGCTTTGGTACTTTTGATTGTCATTGGGCAAATAAAATGTATCACATTAGGAAGCATAGGTGAAAGTTGGTGGTGGTAGTTGTTCCGTTTTGCAAACCTCCATAAAAACTGTTCCCCTGAGTATCAGATTTCAACCTGTTGTTACACTGCCTGTCATGTCTCAAGTACTGCACCAGGAACAACCTTATGTAAAATCACTATTGAGAACAGCTGGTACCCTGTCTGCCTAAATTGTGCAATACGCCACAATACAGCGCAATACACTTGAAATAACGAGTCCAGTCACAAGCAAACACAGAAAACGGTCATTCTCAACAAAATAAGGTGATATAAAAGCAAAAAAAATTGATTAGATTATTGATATCATTGATATAATATTACTAACACATCGGCGCTACTTTAAATATCGTCGGGTCGGCAGACATGTTAGCTTGTGGCTCTTCTTGACAATATTACCGGCCAAGAAGAGCCACTAGCCAACATGGCGACTGACCCGATGATAAACAAAATGTGCCAATTTGTTAAGTTTTATCAAGGCTGTTTATTATTTAGTAATATATTTCGCTCTTATATCAGCCTATTTTGTTTGGAATGACTGTTTCCCGTGTTTATTGTGACTGGACTCATTTTTTCAAGTGCATTGCACTGTGTTGCGCTGTATTGCGGCGTATTGCGCAATTTAGGCAGGCCCGCTGGTACCTCCTCTTGGGTACTGTTTTGACCAAAATTCTATCACTCTGCCTACTTCACAAACACAAAACTCTGCCTGGGAAAATCCTAAAATCAAAATTTTAATTGGGTGTTTATGCCTAGCTCCTCTTCTTTTCATATGCTTAATTTCAAATTTCTATGATATTACATGTACATGTATTTAGGATGCGAAAATCAAATGGGGCAGCTTTTGAATAACTATTAAAGTGGCGTCTTTAAAAAATGACAAACATGGTGTCACTTAAACTTGAATAATTTTTTTTCTGAATGAGATAGATTAAAATTTTTAACGGTTTATTCATACCCAGATATGTGGTTATCTGTGTATTAAATTTCAAGTCTAGCTCTAGCGGTGTGACTGAAATGCATTTGATGTACACTGTATTGCAGTGTATTGCGCATTTCAGTCACACCCTAGCTCTAGGGGAAATCGTGTGCACGCTAGTTACATGTACAATGTACTAGTACAGTAGTCTAGAGTAACTTGTAATAACCCTCCACCACCTCCAGGTGACCATACATCAATCAGTTAACGTGTACGGGCCTTGACTTATGTGAATGTACGCTACCTTGGTCGCAGGGCGAATTATCATAGCAATCTCGTATTGAGGCATTTTGAATTGACTAGCTGCACTTGCACTCCGACAAAACCTGAAACTACTGCATTACTTCTCACCAAGCGGAAACAAGTGTGTTTGCGTCAAAAATAAGCGTGGGCTATAAATAAGTGGAATAAAATAATCAAAAATCGTTTTGAAAATCATCAAATAACCAAAGCCATCAAATATGTAATGAACAATAGCTTTGGTACATTCAAATAAATTACATCAAGTGTAATGTGTGATGAGCAATGAGTAATGATTATTGTTTGTGAATAATTTAACATACTTTTCCATTCTTGTATATATCTTATTCTCCTTTTCATCCGGGCATTCGGTCGCCGGTGCAAGATGGCTTCTTTTAGGTTTGCTGCTGCTGCTGTAAGTGCGAAATATAAGTAATTTCTTGTTTAAGCGTTGTGATTTTACAGTTGAATGTGTCAGTTGCTATGGAAGTCCTTTAAATTTATAAAAACAACCGTTTTAGTTGTGACATTTTTATTTTTACAGTAGGTAGGGCTGGGTTAGTCTAGAACCAAATTTGAAGACTCGAGATAAAACTTAATTTACTTAGTGAAATTGATCACTGTGTACATGAAAACATTGTATGCATTTAGTCTTATCTGACAACTGTTCATTTACGCATGTTCGAGTAGTCAGTGGGCAACTTTTATTTCAAATTATCTGCCATGTGGCATTGGTTCATTTCTGTCCTGATTTTTACAATTTCATATACATTGCAATGTAAGGTGCGTATAATTTTTGCCCTCTTCGAGTTTTGGTTTGAAAGGTAGTCTTTGATCATTGAAGAATAAGAAAAATTAGAACATTGAGCCATGGAGTGTTTCAATCAGTAATGAGTGCTTATATAAAGCCGCTTAAAATGTACACCCTGTATATGTTTTTTTCTTGTTCTTAGTTAGTAGAGGCATGTCATTGTCAAAATTTCACAGTTGAACCACATAATTAAAGGTACATACGAACCGAGCATCGGTGGAGCGTGGATTCCCAGTAACACATGTAAACCACTTCTACTAGATTCTTATATGACTCAAATAAATTCGACATGCCAAGGGATAAACTGAATAGCTCACTCGATCAGCCATAAAAGACCTTTAGACTGCTCCTTTCTTAAAATTTTTGGTTGTAAATTTAACCTACTTCCGTGACCTACTTTCCTGCCCCATTGACATACAGCTTAGAATGCCAGCAGAAAAATCTGTTCAAACATCATTTTCGGGTAAAATTAAACAATGCCTTTTGGTAATTCTCTTAGTTATACTACTTGAAACTATATGCTGGCATTTGGTTGGTTTTTGTGACAAAAAATTGACTTTGTTTGCATCTTTAAGCTAGCATTTACTTCATGAAACTTTTGTTCTAGGTACGGCAATTCAGCACATCGGCAGCCAGGAATGGGGAGATTGTACAGGTAATTTTGTATCAGTTACCCCTTGCCTAAATAAGTGTTAATGCTGATGAATAATTAAACAAGTATAAATAGCCACTTTGACACTTTTTAGCAAGCTGCACATTGAATATCAATTTATTTCTCTTAAGAGATTTTAACAAAAAACCAAACGTTTAGGAAAAAAACCCTGGACTAATTTTGAATGCAGGAATGGGGTCGTTGACTATTGGTAAGTATGGGAAAATTGTCGTTTACTCCAGGAAAATCCAATCTTTGGCCAAAACGAAGAGTTATTATGACTTTAACTTTGTAGCTGATATTCTTTTATTTTCATTTTATATATTTTTTAAAATGAGCATTTCTCCCTCTAGGCTCCAATTCAAGTGTTTGGTATAGAAGGACGTTATGCACATGCTTTGTACTCAGCTGCTGTGAAGCAGAAGAAGTTGGATGCAGTTGACAAGGACATGCAGACAGTTCAGGTAGGTAGACGTTATCCATCAGGTCTTATGAGTAAAAAAAATGGAAACCCTTTAGGATTATCTTTGTGATACTTATTATTATTATTATTATGTATGGATTTTTTCTATTTGTGTAGATCATAAGTGGCAATAAACTAAATTTTTGTCATATTTAATAATGTAATTATTTTTTAAATTAGTATATATAAATTTTTTTTACAGAAATTAATAAAGTCAGATACCAAATTTGCTGAGTTTTTGCATAGCCCTTTACTAAAGAGGTCTGCTAAAACGGGTAAGGGCATTTTTTTCTCTGCATTTCTTTTATTCATTTAAGAATAAAAAAATTAATACACTGCTCACATAAAAGAATTGTGCTCAATTTGTTTCTTCTACTAAATCTAAGGAACAAAAAGAACTGTGGTAAAAAAGTGATTTCTTGTTGAGCATTCCAGAAACGACCATGCGTAAAATATCATTTTATTGCTTGGAAAAAGTGAATGCAAGAGAAATTGTGTGCAGCTACAAGTCCAATCTTGACAGTGGTGTGGATTTGATAAAGCTCACAACATTACAAAAGAATGTTTTGTCCTTTATTTTAGAAACCAAGTCTACACTTTAGTCAAACTACCTTTACTATAATAATTTTTTTCATTTTTAGAGTCATTAAGTGCCCTCCTAAAGAAACAGGGATTTACAGACATTTCTGTAAATTTCTTTGGTAAGTCATTAAATTTTTATTATAAGATGAAAGGATTTATCGATGAATAATTGCCTAAGAATTTGTCCACCATCAAAGAATGAAAAATATATGCATATGTTTATAATTGCAAAGAATCTCAACTTACCTTGGGGGGGGGTTAAATTTTTATTTTTTCTTGCATTTAATTAATAAGTCATTTTTGGGAAATAACTATGCTTTTTTTCCATTTTTTCAATGGAAAATATGGCTAGTGCTCAATTTGCACATACTGACAATGGATAAAGTACAATATGAATTTAAGATTGTTTCCTTCTAATACATGTGCTGTTTGGCGACCTATAAGTGTCAGTTTTGTTTGTTAATAAAACTTTTTTAAGTGTTAAATTTACCCATTTTCAAACACGATTGCCAGAGAGTTTTTTTTTTTTTTCGATTAAATTTTCTCATACTATAATATTACTTATGCATATTTCTTGTCTTCATTATTTAGAGACACTAGGAGAAAATGGAAGGTTGGCAGAAACAACTGGAATAGTTGAAGCCTTTTTGAAAATCACAAGTGCAGAAAAGGGAGAAGTGATGTGCAAGGTCACAACAGCACAGGTATGGTATTGAATTATATCATTAAGGGCATAAGGAGAATGCTGGTTGTGAAGTACTTCATAGCCCAGATTTTGATTTTTAATTTAGTTATCTGTTTATACATAATGTCAGCTTTAGCTTAATATGTTCAAAGCACAGTATTGCCTTGTATATTGTACTATTTTTGAAACAAATTCCGTTATCAACCAACATAATCGTCTATCATGTATGTGATTTCAAATTTTAATGTTTTCTTTTACAATATTTAAATCATAATGTTTGGGAATAAGAGAGCTTTTAACAAAATAGGTAACTTCCAATTGAAAATTTTGATAGTTATACAATTTGTGTAAGTAGCATTTTTGAAATGACCATGCTCAAAGTTTTTTTTTTTTTTCTGCATGGAAAAAAGAAAATGCAACAGCAATTGTTAGCAGCTACAAGCCTATACCTAA